GGCAGGTTAGGGGTTAGGGGGCGCAAATTACTTGCCTTGCCCCGGGTTAGGGGGCGCAAATTACTTGCCTTGCCCCGGGTGCTGACAACCCACGCTACGCCACTGCCTCTCTCATTTTCCCTTTTTGGGCTAACGAAACAAGAGCCGCAGTAGTGGCATACATAAATAACCTTTTTTGACACCTGGGAATTTCCGACTGAATTATCCCCAACAGAAAGGACTCTGGTTTTGGGGGGAAAGTACTTTTAAATATTTTTTTAAAAATTCATTATGGATCATTTCCCAATACTCTTTTACCCTTTTACAAGTCCACCACATATGAAACACACTATTATTAATAATAATATTTATTGAATTTATATCCCAGACTTCCTCCCCAAGGATCCCAGGGCAGCAAACAATTGGTTGGCTGATTGGCATCCATCTGTCTTGGGGGACAATGGAGGAGTGTGACTTTGGGGGTAAAGTCAAACCATTGGAGAGTTACAGCAACTGCTGTGGCTGTAGAGACTGATGCTGGAGAGACATGTTTTGTTGCAGCTAGGGCAGATGAAGATGTCTGGTTGTGCTGCTGCAGATGCACCATGGCGTTTATTCTCTCTTCACTCCTCCCAGTGTTCATTCTTCCTCTGGTCACTGCTGTAGATACACAACCTGATTGATTCTCTCCAAACACTGCAGTTGTCTGCAAGGGATTCCCACACAGTAGGGTTAGATGTACCATTAAAAGACATGGGCAGACATGCTTGGGAAACGGCAGTTGATGATACCAGGCCTAAGTGTAACGGTTGCAAAAGCAATGCTTAAAAATCTACAGTCGTCTCCATTTTGTACAACATCCATTTGTTTTAAAGTGCATCGTGATGTGAAGTGACATCAATCAAGTCCTTCCAAGGGCATGCTTGCACGCCAGACTTCCATTCCCATGGCAGCTGCAGTTCATTGATCCGATAATCTCAACACACACACAAAATGGCCACCAACACCAGCCGTATGAATTGCTGCTCAGCAAGTCAATCACTTATCCAGCCACAGGTGAAGGAACTAAGAAAGCCATCTTCTGAAATGTAACCTGTCAAAGTAAAGTGGACTCTCAAATGCCATAATTAAATCCCTGGATGAGTCAATAACCGAAGCACCCTAATCAAGTATCCAGTTGCTTTTTTCATGGTCAGCCACTGAGACAACAGCTGGTGTGTCTGTGCATTTGAACAAGGTCACTGAGTCTAGAAAACAGAAATATCTAACTGCTTCTCCCTCTCCCACACTTATTCCCTGTATGCAATTAATTCATAACTGGGACATGAATCATGAAGTCTCTACTGTTCTGCCCTCCCTGCAAAAAAATGTTCTGCAGAACATTGTGCACGTAGAGCAGCTGTAAAGAATATTATTCCTCTGGAGACCCTTGAAAAAGTCAATTGGGGGCTGTAGCCAACAGCAGGTGGTGGCAGAACCGAAAGTGGGTGGCGTTGGAAGCACTGCAAGATTGTATAGTTCTCTCTTCCTTTGAGCCACCACATTACCTACCCCCTTCTCTGTTTTCCACCTCATTTTGTGGGCTGCATGAAAATACAGCTAGAGTCTCCTTTCCCAAATATTTGACTCCCTTGTCGCCCACAGATCCAGCTGCCCTTCCAGGTAGTCTCCTGTTAGTGATGCACTTAAATCATTGTCATTGGTCTTTCTTTTTCTTTTTCTTTTAGTAAGGTGAATTCTCGGGGGAGCTGACAGCAAGAAATTGAAATAATTAATAAAGGTGAAAGCAGCAGTAAAAGTACAGTGGTACCTCAGGTTGCATACGCTTCAGGTTACATATGCTTCAGGTTACAGACTCCGCTAACCCAGAAATAGTGCTTCAGGTTAAGAACTTTGCTTCAGGATAAGAACAGAAATCGTGCTCCAGCGGCGCGGCGGCAGCAGGAGGCCCCATTAGCTAAAGTGGTGCTTCAGGTTAAGAACAGTTTCAGGTTAAGAACGGACCTCTGGAACAAATTAAGTACTTAACCCGAGGTACCACTGTACAGTAGTTGGGAGCTGGCAAAACACTTGGCAGAAAGTGAATCATTCTCTCCCTAACATGCGGGAGGGCTATTGCCTTCATGATCTGTTTGTGGAGCTCCAGGTGTATCTGGCTGAGCACTGGGGAAATACAGGAAGCTGTCTTAGTCAGAGTATTGGTTCAACTAGCTCAGTATTGGTCCAACAGGATTTCAGACATTACTTGTTGACAGCCCTGCTGGGGAAATGCCAATTACTGAAGCTGGAATCTTGCAAAACTGAGGTGCCGGATGCTAGACAATTTGTCTGATCCAGCAGTTGTTGTTGTTGTTGTTGTTGTTGTTGTTGTTGTTTTATTGGTTTTATTGGGTTGCCCCAGCCATTCTGGGCAGCTCCCAACAGAATATTAAAAACACAATAGAACATCAAACATTAAAAACTTCCCTAAACAGGGCTGCCTTCAGATGTCTTCTAAATAGATGGTTGTCTATTTCCTTGACATCTGATGGGAGGGCATTCCACAAGGTGCCGAGAAGGCCATCTGCCTGGTTCCCTGTAACTTCACTTCATGCAGTGAGGGAACTGCCAGAAGGCTCTCAGTGCTTGATCTCAGTATCTGGGCTGAATGATGGTGGCGGAGACACTCCTTCAGGTATACAGGGCCAAAGCCATTTAGGGCTTTAAAGGTCAGCACCAACATATTGAATTGTGCTCAGAAATGTATTGGGAGCCAACACCTTTAAGACTGGTGTTATACAGTCCCGGTGGCCGTTCCCAGTCACCAGTCTAGCAGCTGCATTCTGGATTAGATGTAGTTTCCGAGTCATCTTCAAAGGTAGCCCCATGTAGAGCGAATTTCAGTAGTCCAAGAGGGAGATAACCAGTGCATGCACCACTCTAGGGTATCCTAGGATAAGGACATGGGTTTTCTTGAGATCTACTGCATTCTTACCCACTCCAGTATTTTGGTTTTCCACTTCTATTCCCATTAGTAAGGTGATACCTTAACTCTTTGCACTGTGTCTTTCTGTTGTTTCCACTTCTGCTGCATCTGATTGCCTGTGACAGGACATGCTGATTTCATTTAAATCATTCCATTGCCGCTGCAATTGTGCGAACCATAATGAAACATAGAAGGCATGTAGGGTGGTGCAGCCGAAAGCATTGTGACATTAGCTACCTTCCCTCCACAAATCTCCTGTGGAGATGAGAGGTAATTGAACTCAGCTTGTGTGGCATGAAGATCAAGGCGTTGAGACCAAGACGTTAAATGCAAAGCAATAGACCTGGAAGCAGGGGTGCTATAATTTTTCTGTTCCCAATGTTAACATTAAAAAGGAAATTAAAAATGGAAGAAAAGAGAAAAGAGAAGAAGCATCTGACACAGCCAGCCAAGCCATTAACCGGGGTAAGGCCACAGGTGAAATCTTGCCAGAAATCAGTGAAATCTTGCCCAAAATCTGTGCCAGGCTGCAGGATGGGCAGCTCAGGCGGCCGCGGCACAAAACAGGACATACCAGCCCAGAAGCTGTCATGTTTCTAATTAGGGTTCTAAACTTGCAGTGCTAATCCATTGCATTCTAGTATTCTCTGTAGGGGTCCCCCCCCCCGTCCCCCCCGCAGAATCCATTTCTGGAAATTAAAAATGAAATATATAATTGAACCATCTCATGATAAGTAACTTGGGAGGGGTACAGAGAATAAAGTTATTATTGTTGTTATTATTATAATTTTGATAATATTCTTTATTGATTAAAAGAAGTCTTTTTTATTATTTCTTTGTTTCTTATCTTTGTTACTTCTTTATTTTTTATTTTTTTCTTTCTTTAAAAGTTTTCTATTTTATATAATTTTCCTTTTTCTACCTGTTAAGAGATAGTACATAATGTTGTTGTTATAATTTTGAACACTATTTTGTTGGTGAAGCTGACTTATTTTTTGAGCAGTTACTTTAGATACCAGGAAAACAGATGTATTGACAGGTGCTTTCTTTTCATATACATAGTTATTATTCCAATAATTTATAGGATACATTCAGACATCGTTTCCTTTTTATACTAGCAATTTAGAACTCACAAGAAGTGGATACATTTATGAGCACTTCAGAGAGTCCTTGAAGAGAACAGTGAAAAGGAATTTTTTGTAAGATGGACAATAAAACTTGCACAATCTACAGGGTGAGAGGCTACATACTGACAATAGCTTCCATGGCAGATGAATTTATGGCTGTGCACATAAATGGGCTTTTAGAATAAAAATAAGTATGCTTTCTCCCTATCTGAGTGTTTCCCAGGGTTTCTGAAGCTCCAAATAGCCTGGTCTTGGTTCTGAAGCATCAAAACTGACACATCAGGAATTATGTAACTGAGTGAAAAAAATTATCTGGGAAAGACACAATGAGCTGAATCCAAAAGGTTATCTTGCTCTATCACAAGAAGATTCATTCCATTGGAACAAGGGAATCTTTGGATCCAACCCAATATATATAGATACATGGACCAAAACTAAAATGGTATCACCCCTGAGCAAGTTGGCCCAAATTCAGTGGTTGGATTCCTCCTTGGGTTCAATATTTTCAGGAGAAACAGAGTTACATCATGGGAGATCCATGGGAGATCGTCTTCTTTGTTCAACAGAGTCATGCCAAATTTTGATATCAAGGTAACTTAGTGTCAGGAGGCAATACCATTGAGGGATCGCCGGGATGGAACCAGGAGCTCTAGGTGTCAGGTGATCCATCAGAGTTACACATTGGAACATCATCATAGGCCTAGGACAGGAAAAATGTGCCCTGAAGGTCACATGGGGCCCTTTGCCTAACCATGCAGATGAGGGTAGCCCAGATAGAGAGAAGGAGGATATGAGAATTAGAGGGAGCCAAAATGGAAGGTACAGTGGAAGGAAGTGATCAGTTCAGACCACCAGCGCGGGCAATATGTTTGACCCCTGATAACCTGCTGAGCAGGGAGAAGAACAGAACTAATAATTCTGTTGCTGCTGTCCAGTTGTGTGTATATTCTGAAATTTTGCACCTTTGCAATCTCATGCCATCCAACATTTCTCCAATGAAAAATAGAGCTGGACCATAAAGAAGGCTGATCGCCGAAGAATTGATGCTTTTGAATTATGGTGCTGGAGAAGACTCTTGAGAGTCCCATGGACTGCAAGAAGATCAAACGCATCCATTCTTAAGGAAATCAGCCCTGAGTGCTCACTGGAAGGACAGATCGTGAAGCTGAGGCTCCAGTACTTTGGCCACCTCATGAGAAGAGAAGACTCCCTGGAGAAGACACTGATGCTGGGAAAGATGGAGGGCACAAGGAGAAGGGGGCGACAGAGGACGAGATGGTTGAATAGTGTTTTCAAGGTTACCAAGCATGAGTTTGACCAAGCTGCGGGAAGTAGTGGAGGACAGAGGTGTCTGGCGTGCTCTGGTCCATGGGGTCACGAAGAGTTGGACACGACTAAACGACTAAACAACAACAACATTCGATAATAATAATAATACCCCACCCATCTAACTGGGTTGCCCCAGCCACTTCCAACATATATAAAACATGATAAAAAATTCAGCATTAAAAACTGCCTACAAGGCTACCTGTCTTCTAAAGGTTGTACAGTTATCTCCTTGGCTCGGGGGTCACAACACTCCGCACCCTCCAACGTGTCTCCGATGAAAATAGGGATGTCCTAAGGAAAAGCGGGACATTCCAGGGTCAAAGCAGAAACTAGGGATGGCTTTTGTAAATCCAGGACTATCCCTGTGTGGTGATATCACCCCTTTAAAACTGGTTTGTGGGAGTGGGTTAGAACCTCAGAAATAATGAGCTTGCATACAGCTGTCTCCCGTTAAGGATTCAAGGCTGGTGTCACAAGGTAATTGGGTGGAAGAGGTGAATGCCGATATCCAAGTTCCCATAAAATCTGGATTGCTGGGAGCTACAGCCAGCCAAGGTTAGGTCAGTGTTTACTTGGGCTTTTGACAGCATCTAGTTCCTTTGCTCAGCCAACTGAGAGTGAAGTGTAAGCATTTATGTTGATTAGCTGGATAAGTTAGCATTTGTTGTTTTCTTACCTTCTGAGCTATTTTAATCTGTGTAATTATTTGGAGTTTTTCTCTCTTGTAGAGTTTTGTTTTTTTAGTAAAGCCTGTGTATGATTTTATGAAATTTGGTCTGGTCTGAGTTCCTGAACCCTTTAATTTTGACCATGCTTTTCAGAGCAAGGGTCATCCACCACTCCCTGGAGAACAGGGGCACTTGGAAGGTAAACGATCTGCTGGTTTGATCCATATACTCATGAACTGGTGCAGTTTCTGTTCTTCTTTGCCATTTCTTTAGTCAGCTGGGGTCCCCTCAACAATCATCATCTCAAACTAAGCTCTGATGACATTTCCAAACTGGAGATATTTACTTCCCCAAAGCTGTGCATATTGAACCAAGGGGGAAGGGGAGAGGGTAAAGAATGAAGACACAGTACCTTTCCTTCACCATATGGCAGAGTCGTGCTTTTCACAAATTCACCCAGATGGCTTAATCTCTCCACCAAGTGTAAACTTATTACTTTCTGAGCAAACAGAAGAACAGGAGAGATAAATCAAGTGGCAAACCTTTGCCAAGAAAGGGGTGTTTGTAGCATGCAATCAAGTATGTGCAAACTTTGTGGAAGAGGAGAACTACGAAGAGTTTGGGGCTTCACTTGCTTTGCTGTCCATTGCACCAAGCTGTGGCTCTCTTTGTAAAAAGAGTCCAGGTCTCAGAAAGACCAGCTCTTCAGTCATCCAGAGAGCCAGTTTATGTATTTAAAAAGGAAGAGGATAGAGGATTGACACGCCTTGAAAATAAGACCAGAACTAGGGCTTTGCTTACAGAAACAATACAATGTATATTTTTATTTTACTGTTCATGGCTGAAGCCTGCAGAGAAGCAGGGCTGTTGAGGAGGGATGAGAGTGAATTTCTGGAGTCTGTGTAGCCCCGGCTATAAATGAGTTGCAGCACCATGCAATCAATCACAGGTACTGTACTAGCAGGGGAGCCATTGGCAAAAGATAGATCAGTGAGTAGATAACATTGGCATTCTTGCAGATGATTAGAATTATCAATATTAGAGAAGAGGCCCTATTCTGAGGTCCAGCGCCGAGGGCCTTCTGGCGGTTCCCTCACTGCAAGAAGCAAAGCTACAGGGAACCAGGCAGAGGGCCTTCTCGGCAGTGGCACCCACCCTGTGGAACGCCCTCCCATCAGATGTCAAAGAGATAAACAACTACCTGACATTTAGAAGACATCTGAAGGGAAGTTTTTAATGTGTGACATTTTAATGTATTTTTTAATCTTTGTTGGAAGCCACCCAGAGTGGCTGGGGAAACTCAGCCAGATGGGCAGGGTACTATATTATTATTATTATTATTATTATTATTATTATTATCATCATCATCATCATCATCATCATTGTTACCTCCTACTGGCAATGGTGTTATTCCTCTGGAAACAATGACATCTAAGGTCACATGCAACAAAAACAGGGGCACATCACCCAGTCATCATGCCACATTTTGCTTCCTGGGAAGAAATTATCTATTTTCTTTCTTCCAAAGGTGTCATCAATTTCCTCAGACAACCATGGAGTTGTAGCCCTTGCCAGGGCAGGGGATGATCCCTCTCTTCACTTTCTCCAACTGCTTGGTGCCTTCAGGCTCAACTGACTTATAAGGACTCTCATGCTCATCACTTCTTTCTTGAAAGCTAAGCATATCCCGGCACCGTCTGAGATTTGCACATTATCTTCCCTGGGCCTCAAGGGAGCTCAGAGTTTCCCAGCAGCACTTCCATCTCTTGAAAGTTTCCCAGTTATCTGCAGCTTGCTTTGCCTGGCTGTCAAGTGCAACAGCTTTTCCGCTGATGCCATTTTAGATTGCAGGGGAAATGGATGGAGACTCTGCTGCTATTGTTATCTTACAGAACAGAACTCCATTCTGCAGCAAACATCTGGATGCAAGTCAGAAGCATAAAAGACTAACACTTGAGCTGTCACTTATATCTTTCAGGCCTAGCAGAAGCTTTCGAAGAAATGAGCACTCAGACTTTATTCTGTGGGTGCCCTTTGTGGGATCGCGTGTATTGCTTTGGACCCAGGGAACTTTCCAGTTTGTATGGGCTGGCCTTCCCTCTCAGTGTTATTCATGCCCAGCCTCAGTAGACAGGTTACACTGCTGGGGGCCATAGCTGTCAACCGTCCCTTATTTGGCAGGAAACTCCCTTATCCCAGCGCCGTGTCCCGCTGCTGTCCCTTATTGATGATATCCCTTAAATTTCCCGGGTTTCAAAGGTAGCAGCTCCTCTCCCTCCCTCCCTGCCTGCCATGGAGGAGGGAGGCTCCAACTGTGTTGCTTGGCTGCCCGTCCCGTCCCCCTCCGGCCTCCTCTCACCAGCTTCGGCCCCTGGGAGCCCCTCCCCGCCGGGACTGGCGGGAGCCTCGGGCCCTTCGGCCGCCATCCTCCTCGTGGCTGCCGAACTGAGCGTCTCTGCCTGGGGCCTCCCCTCTGTCTGCTGCCGCTGCCACCGCTCCTGCTAGGCCATAGTGCAGCTGCGCCGCCGAAGGACCCAGATGAGATGGGCAGCCTGGCGTGGCCTATGAATTGCTGAGGAGCCTTGAGAGGAGAGTGAGGGCAACCACAGAGAAAGCACTTCAGAGAGAGGAGGCAGAGGCGCGGGCAGGTGTTCCAAGGGCTAACCATAGAGGGGGAAAGCGGAGGAAGGACCGCAAGCACTTCTCCCATAGATTTGTAGGAGTAGACTAGCATAGATGGTCTGATCTGCGGGTTTTAGGCGCTATCCCCCCCCCCCATCTTCCTCCTGCCCTGCCTGATGGAACTGAGAGCTGCAGATGGAGCACGAGAGAAAAGATACAGAACTGCAGTAGCATCTTCATAGCTTGGACTTTGTTTTGCGCAAAAAGTGGTTGCTGCTTGTAGTTATTTAATTGTGGTGTTTCATCAGCTCATGTCTTGAGCAGCAACCTCTGGAAACAAAGGGCTAAAAACCGGCGCTGCTCTCCCAAATTATCTGGTCCCTTTTAACTTTGTATTTCAACTGGTTGTCTAAAATCCCTTATTTTGGCTGCTGATCCCTTATTTTCAAAGCTGTAAATTGACAGCTATGGGCCAGTCACATAAATAGGGGGTGGAGCCGGCAGCAGCCAGGAAGTTGGCTCAAGAGTTTCACCTACCCAGTGGCGGAGATTCATGCTCTGGCACCGGGGGAACGGAGAGCAGATGGGGTGGGGCTGGTGCACGTCCCGGGGGCATGGCGCACCGCCCACATACTGGGGGCATGGTACACCGCCTGCGGTGGTGTGGCACCCAGCGTGGGGGGGGCAGCCGCTATGGCACCCCACCGGGATCGTGCTGCCAGGGGTGGTGCACTCCCCCACACTCCTCTTCCTCTGCCAGTGCGTCCACCCAAACCTCCCTTTGTTTAATGTTTCTTGTTTACAGGTTAACTTTTTTCTTCCTGTTTAGCGGGTGCTGCTACGATCTTTGACTGGTTGCTGTTGAAGAGCCGGGAAGAAATTTTCCTGCATTGGGAGGTTTTGTCTTCCCCATAGCAATTTGTCACAACTTTGGCAATTTAAGGCTTTGAGTGGAATCCTTTAGTCTTTTCTTCCCTAAAATGGATGGGGGCCTGAAGTGGTGACTCACCCCCCCACCTGCGGCAGCGATTCTAGGGTCCCCTCTTAAAGGGGTTGTCACCCATATGGGTGTCACTGAACATACACTGAAAGGTCATCAGTAAACTACCCTGCGTGTGGGGATATGGAGTGGGCTGCCTGCGTACACTTCTTGAGGGCTTCATTTAATCTTCTCTCTCACTTGTGTTTTGGATTACTTCTGAATCTCATTCTAAAAGAACCGCCTTGCATTTGGCAAGATGTATGGGTCTCAACAGATGCCTAGTGATGCTGACATGTGATACCAGCTGCTGGAAACCACAGGAGGGGAGGAAGAAGAAGAA